GGGGGGCCCCCGGGGAGGGCGGGGGGGCCCCGCGGGCGGACCCGGAGGCGCAGCTGCGGGCGCTGCAGCTGCGGACGCAGCTGGAAGCTGCTGCTGCTGCGGAGTTTGCGGAGATCGCAGGCAGCACTGTGGACAGTCTGCAGGCAGTGAACTATTTGCTGCTGCATGCGGAGAGCCGGCACGCGCAAGTGGCGAAGTCCGCGTCTGCTGCGCTGCAGCTGAGCGGGCTGGTGGAAACTGCAGCAGCAGAGGCGCAGCGGCTGGCCGAGGAAGCCGCGCGCTGCAGCGCAGCAGCTGCTGCTGCTGCATGCGCCGACAAGGCCGACCGGCTGCGCAGAGAGGCCTTCGAACACGCGAGGGGAGTGCTGCGCTGCGTGGCGGAAAACGGGGCTTGGTACCAGCTGGACTCTGCAGTGCAGAGCGCGGGGCTGCGGCTGCAGCGCAGCCTGGGGGTGCTTTCGCAGCAGAGCCCCCGCGGCAGCCCGCAGCGCAGAGCCGCGCAGTTAATGAAAGAGGGAAATGCAAATGTTGCAAAAAAAAGGTACTTGAGTTCTGCGCAGTTGGTTCCCGCCGGCCGGCACGTGGTTTCGCTGCTGGCGCTCGCGCGCCGCGTCGAGCAGCTCAGCATCGTGGAACGCAGCCGCCTCAGCAGCGCAGCAGCGCCCGCCTAGTTCAAAATAATTAAAATTATTGCAAATTATTGCAAATAATTCAAAATAATTGCAAAAAGTCTTCATTTCCGCGGCGCGGATCGTCGCGGCTGTTCCGCTTTCCGCCGCCGCGAAATCTGCAGGTTCGCACTTTGGAACGCGGGCGCGGGCGCCGCTCGCCAGGTGTACGTACACCGCAAAGAAAGCGCCGCCGCACGCGCCCGCCGGGACTCTCGCGTCACTTTTCTGCTTTCTGCTTTCTTCGCGCACTCTCGCGCCGCTCTCAACTGCTTTTTGTTTTTGCCGGCGCGGCGCGAAACTTACTGCAATCGTGAACAGCCTGTTGAATAGGAACGCCGCGGTTTGCTGCGCTGCTTCCCGTGTCAGTGGCTGCTGCTGCTGCTGCAGCTGCTGCTGCAGCTGCTGCAGCTCGCTTTCCGGCGCTTTCAACTTCTCCAATTTTCAATTTCCTTTTTCCTTCTTCCCCTCTGCAGATCTGAGGCAGCGGCCGCCGCGGGCTACAGACCAGCCACGAACTGCTTTAACAACCTTTGGGTGCTTCTGCATCTGACAAAGAACTTCAAAGGTATTCAATCTTTCCAACTCCGGCGAAACTCCAATGCAGAAAATGAAACTTTAAAAGTTGAACTGCTTCCCCTAGATCTAATCACAAGCAGCCAGCCACAAATCTGCAAGTTTTGCAAGTTTTCAAGTTTTCAAGTTTTCAAGTTTTGCAAATTTTGCAATTTTTGAATTTTCACTTTCGAAAAGTGTCTGGCGGTCTGGCGGGCAGCTGTAGATACACCTGAAGGCCGGTAGGACACGAGTGCTGCAGTTTAGTGGACAGAACGGAATTTAATTTAATTATTTTATTTATTTAAATAAAAAAATTAAATTAAATTTAGGGAGTGTTGAGTTTTGAAAGGAAGTTTTCGTAAAGTGACCCTCGGGGCCAGCAGCAGCAGCAGAAACGGTCGGCTGCATGCATGCAGCCCTGCAGCAGCAGCAGCAGCGGCAGCAGCTCATTCCCGGCGGAGAGCACTGCAGCAGCAAATTGGCATTTTAGGCCGCATTCTGTTCTGCTGCTGCTGCTGCTGCTGCCGCTGCTGCTGCTGCTGCTGCTGCAGCACGCCTTTCTGCTGCTGCAGCGCGGAGCTCTGCTGCCACAATTCGCTCGCGAGACCGAGGGTCAGCCTTGTCTCTATTAGTGGCTGCTGCTGCTGCTGCTTCGCTAGCTGCAGCAGCAGCAGCAGGGGCTGCAGCAGCAGCAGCAGGAGTCGCAGCAGCAGCAGGTGGACTGCGGCTAGACGCCTCTTCCAGTTTTGTGCCCTGAGGCTCTGAGGCATTGAAAAGCAGCAGCAGCAGCAACAGCAACATCAGCAGCAGTAGCAACAGCAACAGCAGCAGCAACAACAGCAGCAGCAGCAGCAGCAGCAGCAAAAGTGACGGAAAAGAAGCAAAAAGAAATCAAACAAAGAGACAAAAAGAAATACCAACAGAGAAAAAAAACTGTCCTCACTCTCTTCTAGCTTCTGCCGCTTCGAGAAAAATGAATTGATCGGTAGAATTTTGCTGCTGCTGCTGCTGCTGCTGCTGCTGCTGCTGCTGCTGCTGCTGCTGCTGTTGGTGAGGGCTTCACGGGGTGCAGCGGCTCGCGTCTTCGCTGCAGCAGCAGCAAAGGCGAAGAAGACTAGTGGTGAGCTGCTGCTGCTTCTGCGTTGCTGCTGCTGCTGCGTTGCTGCTGCTGCTGCGTTGCTGCTGCTGCTGCGTTGCTGCTGCTGCTGGTTTGCTGCTGCTGCTGGTTTGCTGCTGTGTCTCCTTTACCTGTCTCTTTATTTATTTTATTTTTTTGCCTTTTCCCCTTCGGCTCTGGCTCGCTAATTTTAATATAACTTCCGCCGCAGCTCGCCGCGTGCTGCGCCCCTACACGCAAACCCTAAACCCTAAACCCTAAACCCTAAACCCTAAACCCTAAACCCTGAGGCGTGAAGGTGGGGGCAGGTGGAGGAGATGAGCAAAGAGACACAGAAGGAGACAAAATTAAAATGACAAAAATGAAAATGAAATAATAATTTAGAAATAAATGAATTTGTAAACTGAAAAAGATAAAAAGAGATAAATGCGGAGACAAAAAAACAAATGGAGACAAAAAGAAAAAAAAAGAAATAAACAAAAATATAAAT